AGAAGTAGAAATAGCAAATAAACATATGAAAAAATGTTCAACATCACTGGTCATTCAAGAGATGCAAATGAAAACAAAGCTGAGATTCCACCTCACCCCACAAAGAATGGCTGCTATCATGAAATAAACCAATAACAAATGCTGGTGTGGTTGTGGGGAAAAAGGAACCCTTCACTACTGCTGGTGGGAGCACAAACTAGTGTAACCACTGTGGGAATCAGTATGGAGATACCTCAAAGAACTTGGATTAGAGGTCCCATTTGACCCAGCTATTCCCCTGCTGGGTATCTTCCCCAAAGAATTAAAAGAAACATACCACAGTGATATGTGTGCACCCATGTTCACAGAGGTACAGTTCATAATAGCTAAAATTGGAAACAGCCCAACTGCCCATCAACTAAAGACTGGATAAAGAAAATGTGGTTGTTTTGTAAAATGGAATACTACTGAGCCACAAAGAATGCAAAATTAGAGACATTTATAGCTAAATGGATGCACAATGAGGCCATACTCTTAAGTGAAAGAAACAGGACAGATGTGTAAATACTGAATAGTTTCTCTGGTGTGAGAAACTGAAAGTGTAAATAAGGATCAAAAGATGTAATAGATAATGTGAAACAGGAAGAAAAAGTCCAAAGGGGAAGTGGGAGGGATTGAGGAAAGGAAAGAAGGGAATAGAATTTGAGATAAGGAAAAAAAGTAGACAAAGTCATTGTAAATAGGGAGGGGTAAAGGGGTTGGAGGGAGGGCAGAGGAAGGGGGAAAAATAAGAACCAAAATATGTTATGTAAAGATGCAAATTCCCAATGATGAATGTCATTGTATTGTATACCTAAAGTGTACCAATAAAATTAATTTTTAAAAAAGGAAAGAAATTACTCCTTCCTTTTGCAGTAATCATCAAGCTCACAATGAAAAATGAAGAACCAGCATACCAGAACTTACCTAAGGGATGATCTGCATAATCTGGTCTTTGAATGTAACTTGGAACTGGCCTTGTTGGCATCTAAAAGCATTGAAGAGATTACTTTAAATCTATTAACTAGTAAAGATAATAAAACTGTAATTTAAAAGCTCAAGCGTAAGTTTTTAAATGAAAAAAGTTTTAAATGACATGTTAAATATCAAAGCAGGTATCTATTTCATTAAAATTAAGCCTACTTTTCTAGTGCTCATACCATCCCTTTCTAAAGAAGCTTAAGAAAGGGGAGAATAATCAAGGCCATCAGTGACTTTAGATTAGCTACAGACCACAAGGTGCCAGTGTTGTTCCAAAAGCACTGGCAAGCTGACAACAATGATAAAATAATGTCTCAAATAACATATACACCACAGTGTTCCTAATCACTATCTATGGGAAGGAGAATTAAAGAGACTTTCTTAAGAATTTAATATTTTTTCAAAAATTTAAGAAGAATATCATCAATAAAGAGAATTTAAATATTTAAGGATAATCATCAGATTTCAAATTAATTGAATTCCTATTAAACCGCAGCAAAGAAGGGAAGGGACAGGAGTGGCCAAAAAGGCAGTTATTAAGGTACAAATGCTACTACATTTTAAAAATTTAGAAATACATTCTACCATAAGAAAGAAAATAACTATTGTACTTTACCTCATTCTTTTTAAAAACTAATAAAGCTTTAATTCTTTCACTGAAAATTTTCTCCACTTCTTCTATGACTGTTAATTATCTCAACTAGCTCTCAAATGATGCAGCGTAAGAGCTAAAGAGCTAGAGTGCAAGTTCTTTTGTAGACATAATCCTGTTCCATGGTTCACTATTAGAATATAAATTACAATTATCACTTATAGTAAACTCAAAATTAATTTTTTTTAAATGCTATGTTCTTTTTGTTGTTGTTGTTGTTTTTGGTACCAGAGATTGAACTCGGGACCTTGCGCTTGGCAAGGCAAGAGGCAGAACCATGAGCTAAATCCCCGGCCCTAAATGCTAAGTTCATATGACCTTATATACTCACCAATGGATAATGTGGTCTCAGTTTACCAGTGTATCGATACCCTGCCCATGGGTCAGTTTTAATATCACCTTCAACAATCCAGGAGGATACTTCTCGCTTTGCCTTTTCATCTTCTATGAAATAGATAAATGAATAGGTGTGAGGAGAACAGAATGGAATGCTTCAATAACTAAGCAGCATACTTTTATTCTTACTTTTTAAAAAATAAAGCCACATCAGGCACAAGAATCCAGCACATTTCTACCCTGATCTAACAAAGCTATTACTTTACTGCTATAGTGTTATAATTCCTTTTAGAAGATCCAAATGTCTTAGAAAAAACATTATAGGAACAGCTCATAGAAGTGCTTTTCTCAATACTAAATGCATTCTCTCTTCAATTTCAATTTATCTGAAGTTCATTTCAAAATATGAAGCATAGGGGCCGAGGATTTAGCTCAGTGGTTTTGCTGCCTGCTGTGCAAGCGCAAAGACCCAAGTTCAATCCCTGGTACCAAAAAAAAAAGTATGAACCCTAGCAAAAACCTTCTCAACTGGAATTAGATGTAACAAATTAATGCCATGATCTTATCAAAAGAAGAGATCCTGGGCCGGGGATTTAGCTCAGTGGTTTCGCCCCCTGCCATGCAAGTGCAAGGACCTGAGTTCGATCCCCCGTACCAAAAAAAAAAAAAGAGATCCTAGAGCCGGGGATTTAGCTCAGTGGTGCTGCCACCTGCCTTGCAAGTGCAAGGTCATGAGTTCGATCCCCAGTACCAAAAAAAAAAAGAGATACTAAATTACCTCAAAGTGAACTTAAAATCAAAACTAATTTCCTGCTTAGCTGATGAGTACCTTTTAAGTCAATATTTCAAACTACTTTGAAAGTTTTACGATCATCTTTTGTCTCTTTTTAGAAGGGGATACAAGAAGAAAAGGGGAAAAGAGAGAAAATAATCTGTTGAAAGTTATTGCAAACTCAAAGAAAACTTAATCACATACATACTATTATTTTAGTTATTAATACATAATAAATGTGCTTATTGAAATGCACCTAAGAATCTTTTTCAAAAGAGCAAACCTTCTATGTTATAATCTCAGCACAACCAGCTGCACCTCTTCCTTATTCACTGAAGTCCTTCCTAAACCAAGTATAGATCCACAAACCAAGTATACAAATCAAGTATAGATCCCCGGCCCTTACCATAGATTTTGAAATGCAGACTTGCAGACTTCAAATTAATTTTAGACATACATGAGATTAACCTATTCAAAATATAGGGGCCTGGCTCAGTGGCACCACACCTGCCTTGCAAGCACAAGGTCCTGAGTTCCATCCCTGGTACCAAAAAAACCCAAAAACAACAACAAAAAAACCTGGTTGGCCCAGGGATTTAGCTCAGTGGTACAGCGCCTCCCTCACAAGCGCCAAGGTCTTGAGTTTGATCCCTGGTACCAAAAAAAGAAAAAAATAAATATATATAGAGAATGTTATGTAAGGTTCTGGGTTCAATCCTCAGCATGACCAAAAGACCGGGGCGGGGGGGGGGGCCTGCTTAGATGGAATCATGTAACTTTAAACTAGAGAGGGTATTAAAGAAAATCTAATTCCCTTATTTTACAGATGAAGAACCAGAGGTGATGTGTATTATGTGGCTAATGATTCAAGAAGGCCAGTTCCCAATCCAATGAACATGTGGACACCTCCAGATTAAAAGGTTACTGAAGCACACAACTGACAAGAATGCAAAAATATAGCCAATCTATTTATATTACTTTGGAAGAGAATATATTTATACCATCACATATAAAGCAAAAGAGAAAAAAAATTCTACTATTACTGAATTTTAAGTATCTTTATCCCCTCTGTAGAGTTCAAGAAAATCACTGTGAATGTTAATGTCAATACAAAAACTCTTTATCATCACAGGAAAAAACCAGACCCCATTCAATGCCACTAGGTTCAAACATTATAGAAAATTGTTCAAAATGCCTACTTCAGCTATGAATCATATGAAGTAATTCTGCCTTAAACATAAATTTCAAGAATAATTTTCTCCTGAAATCTAGGGCAGAAAAGCAATCAATACTCAGGTTTTTTGCTTTAACATATTCCTGGAGAGGAAGTAGAGAGAAGGAAAACAAGTAAAATCTTTCAAGACTTTCTGTTGATCTGCATTCGTTCCCTCCCATAATCTATTTGCAAAAGAAAATTGAAAGCAGATCTGGAACAAACAACAATAACCTGAAAGCTAGCTACACAAAGATGAAATACGTCAAGTTCTTTTCTAATCTTTAGGTATAATTTACTTATGAAAATTTATACTTGAAAAGTGAGCCCTAAATGCTAGACACATAACAGACATCTAATATATCTGAACTGAGGTGAGGCTAGTAGCAAAATTCCATTAGTAACTGGTCTTTTTAAGCAGCTATGAAAGCATGGGACATTATAAGCAAGCTGTCTTTCGTAAACCACAATACAATAGGCCCAGGTTAGATACAGGCCATGTCCAAGAGCCAGAATTTCTCAGATCTTCATTTATGCAAGGTCTGGCAAAGGTATATCAAATCCAGGCTTTATTCTTTAAAAGCTTTCTCCAGCCATGTAAGATAACTGTACACATCTAAACTTTGCCTGGGACAGGATTTTCTAAATAATGAGGTTTCTTCTTTTAAATGAGGTTTTTAGGTCATATTTTTGGCTGTTCAAAAGATATGTCAAATTCTTTCACCTTTTACTTCAGGAAAATTAGAGAAAAAGAAACCAACTGACACATGAGTAACACATTAACTGGACAGAATAAAACAGTCTTGAGACTGGAAGTGCCACAACATTAATACATCACATTAAAAGTAAACTACTTATGTATACTCTGCCAGAAGATACAGTGTAGGACAGATGCAACCAGACATCACCATTATGTGTTTTTCCTCACTCACTTTTTTTTTTTTTTGGTACCGGGGATCGAACTCAGGTCCTTGCACTTGCGCAGCAGGTGGCGAAACCACTGAGCTAAATCCCTGGCCCTCCATTACGTGTTTTTAATTAAGGACTTTACAAAGCAGCAAATAAACATATGAAAAAAAGTTCAACTTCACTGGTCATTCGGGAGATGCAGATGAAAACAACACTGAGATCCCACCTCACCCCACAAAGAATGGCTGCTATCATGAAATCAACCAATAACAAACGCTGGCGGGGTTGTGGGGAGAAAGGAACCCTTCTCCATTGTTGATGGGAGTGCAGACTGGTGCAACCACTGTGGAAATCAGTATGGAGATACCTCAAAGAACTAGGACTAGAGGTCCCATTTGACCCAGCTAGTCTCCTGCTGGGTATCTTCCCAAAAGAATTAAAAGAATCATACCACAGCGATATATGGGCACCAATGTTTATAGTGGCACAGTTTGTAAGAGCTATAACTTGGAAACAACCCAATTGCACATCATCTGGAGACTGGATACAGAAAATGTGGGTTTTTTAATAAAATGGAGTACTAATTAATGAGCCATAAAGAACAAGAAATGAGAGACATTTATAGCTAAATGAACTGAGGACACACTCTTCAGTGAAATAAATAGGAGGACACACATGTGTAAATACTGAACAGTTTCTCCAGTATGAGAAACAGGAAGTGCAAATAAGGATCCAAAGGAATAATTGATAATGTGAAATAGGAAGAAAATGTCCAAAGGGATAGGGGAAATGGGAAAGGTAAGGGAAAGGAAAGAAGGGAAAGGAAAACATATGAGATAAGAAATAAATGAGGGCCGGGGGTTTAGCTCAGTGGTGTTGCTGCCTGCCTCGCTAACGTAAGGTCCAGAGTTCAATCCCTGGTACCACAAAAAAAAAAAAATGTTTTGAGCTGGAAAGGGAGAACATCATTGTATACTTATTGGGCTGGGGATTTAGCTCAGTGGTTCGGCCACCTGCCTCGCAAGCACAAGGACCCAAGTTCGATCCCAAGTACCAGAAAAAAAAAAAGAAAGAAATGGAAACAAAGCCTTTGCAAATAGGGAGGGGATGGAGGGGGTGAAGGGCGGGCAGGGGAACGGGGTAAAAATAAGAACCAAGATAAATCATGTAAAGGTACAAGTTCCCAATGATGAATGTAAATGTACTATAAACTTAAAATGTACCAATAAAAAAATTGAAGAGGAAAAAAAATTAAGGACTTTACACTCTGACTGGCCTCCTTCACTATGTGATACATAAATAAATTCTATTCCTCAGTCATTTAATTCACACTTGAAAATTTCTCAAGGTCTATATAAAATATTAAGCTTCCATAATTAAGAAGACTCTAGGCCCTGATAAATTCCATCAAACATTTAAGGAAGAACTAATATAAATACTTTCTCTCTTCTAGAAAAAAGAAAAGGAGGAAATATTTTCCATTTTATTTTATGAGATGAGAATTACTCTACAATCAAAACCAAACATATTGAAAGCAAATTATGGACAAAGAGCCCACATGAACATAAATATAAATCAGGTATTTTTAGTCAGAGATCAATATACGCTACATTTTTTTAAAAAGGCTGAAGATATCACCTTCATGAGAACTGCTTGCCCAAAGTACCATCATTTAATACACCCAACTTCCTTCCTTGCCCAACACTCTTTTTCCCTAATGCCTTTCTCAATACTCTTCTAAGCTACAGGTATCATTCTTCCTTACAGCATTCCCTTTCTAGGACTGTCACTCAAAACACTGTGCTTTGGGGCAGTTTGTTAGATGTGAAAGATTTAGCTCTGGCCAGCTAAGAGCTCTCTAACCTATAGGACCCAAAAGGGATTAAGGACATTTGGCTCACACACTAAAGAAAATCACCCCAAAAGATCTAAGAGAACACCACCTAAATATGGCATCCTACTAAGCACCGTAAGTATAAGCAACTGCAAACAGCTTAGGTCCAATGCTGCAATAATTACATGCTTTTACATAAAGAACACTTGCTATTTTAATCCCTTGTAATGTAGGTAAAAATAAAGTAATTATTTCTACCCTTAGAAATCCAGTACTTGCAAAACAGGGACACTTCAGGGAGTTACCAAACTTAAGAGACCTATTCCAAGCTCTTTTACTAATATTCTATTTAACTTCAGCCCCTTACACTTCCCTATGCTTTAATTTCTTAAGTATAAAAAACTAACTGGCTTAGAACTCTGCAAAATGCCTACCACTTTAGAAGGTATGTAATGTACATGTGAATAACGTTTCATGACTTTATTTAAATCTACCTCCATACTTTGAGGTGAAAATAAAAATTAACAACTCCTGGGCCGGGGATTTAGCTCAGTGGTTCCGCCGCCTGCCTCACAAGCACAAGGTCCTGAATTTGATCCACAGTACAAAAAAAAAAAAAAAATTCAACAACTCCTGTCTTTTTATACTTTTATAAACTTTGACTTATTCACTTATCATCTTCACTCTAACCATATTTTCTCTCACTAAAACCATTTTCATTAAATGTAGACATCATTTCATATAGTACAATCACAGAAAATATTATCTTTTAAAAATTTTTCTTTTCTTTCCAAAGGTGGTTTGATGTTATGACCTCAGATTTATTTTCGTAAAACAATTACCAAACCTCCTTAAATCAAATAACTCCTAAAAAGAAACTGATAGACAGATGAAAACAAGATACCAAGATCAGCAAGTTAAAACAGAAACCTTATACAAATAACCCAGTGCTGCCTGCCAAGCCTCTGTCCATCAGGATGGCCATGATATAAAAGCACCTATCAATTTTCAGGTACTTGTGATGAGCTGTTGTAAGACAGCTACACCAATGACATAAATTTACAGGATGAGCAGCAGTGGCAGCTAAGAACCAGTTGATAGTTTCACTTTGTGATGCCAAAGAAATTTCAAAAAAGAAAATTAAATATTAGACTGTAGATAATAACATTAAGATACCAAAAAGCAAAGTATAGTCATCCCTCAGTATCCCAGGGGACAGATTTCAGGACCTTCCTGGGATGTTCAAGTCCCTTTTATAAAATAGCATGTATCTGCCCATAACTTACGCACACCTTCCCATGTACTTAAACTCATCTCTATCCTTATAATACCTAATATAATGTAAATGCTATGTCAGTAGCTGAATACTGTACATGTTCAAACAGATGCAAATTTTTTTCAAATTTGTTTGACCTACAGTTACTGTGCTTGAATCCACATATGTAGAATTCATGGATGTGGAACGTGAGGAGGATACAGAAGGCTGGCTGTAATATAATTTTGAGTAGAAAAAAAGTACAAATTAAAAACTAAACAAAAACAAAAGGGATCTGGCTAAATGAAGTCAAAGAGCTCCCGTGCCCTCTACGTACAACATCGAAACACTTCTAGTAAAGACACAAGGGTGCCAAAAGATTAAGACACTATCAGATATTAGTCAAGCAAGACCCATCTAGCCTAGCGAAGATCTCATTTTTTAATGTTAAATGTGTGAAACAACACAATAAAGGTATTATTAAGAATAAAATAGCTTTCAGGATCATACTCTCAGAACATCTCAATATACACTTTCAGAACTACAAGAATTTCTGTCTTCTAGCACAAAAGCCACTTTAGAGGACAAATAGTATAAGGATAAGTGATTTTACTTACTTGCTTTCTTATGCAGTAACTTGTGAGTAGCCCAACTTCCTTTAAAACATTCCTAAAAGAGGGAACAAGGAAATTAGTGCTAGACCTTTCTTAATTAGAAACATTTTTAAGGAATGTTATATATAATACAGTGACTGAAAATTTTATTTGCAACAAAACTTATGGATCTGCAAATTAATTATCTAGAAAAAGCTGAAAGAATGATACCTATTCTACATTTCAGTTCAAAAATAATCTAAACTGGGCCAGGGATTTCGCTCAGTGGTTTCGCCGCCTGCTGCACAAGCACAAGGACCCGAGTTTGATCCCTGGTACCAAAAAAAAAAACAAAAGAAAAAAAAGAATCTAAACTTCCCTTCAAATAAGCAAGTAAATTTGGTCTATAATTAAATAGTAGTCACAGTATTTCAATTTTACCTCACCAAATTATGAAGCATGTAAAAAGATCCACTAGCCAATTAATCACACACTAGAAAAAAATTACAAGGAAATGTTTAAAAATTCTTCCATTATTTATAGTATAGTATCAGTGATACATTAAGTCACCCATCTAACCAGCTACCATACTTCCTACATGTCAACAGTCCTCAGACAGTAAACCTTGCAGAGAAAGGACTATATAGCAAAATTTACCAGGGTCAGGGATTTAGCTCAGTGGTTCTGCCGCCTGCCTCACAAGTGGAAGGACCCAAATTTGATCTCCAGTACCCCCCCAAAAAACAAATTTACCACTATCACCCAGACTCAAGCAGAGTGCTTGGGTCATGGTGGGATTTCAGTACTGCTGACTGATCAGAATGGATACATAGAAAGACAAGACTTCTCACTAAGGAAAATGTGTTCATGTTCATGTAACATATTTAAGTTACTACTAATATGTAACAAATTGTGAAAATAAATTCAATAATGAATTGAATTCAATAAGGAACTCAAATAATTAGAAAAGTAATTCAAATAGACATAGATCTTATTTATGCTTTGATCTGTATCATCTCTCCTTCAAAGAGTTCCATTCCTTAAGTAAATAATTCAAAATACTACGAAAATTTACAAATTGCTATAAGTGCTTTATTTTTGAAAACATAAAAGAAGACATAGATAAGAAAAAAAACGGAAAAATATTCTTAAGATACTAGTATTCAAACCATATTACACAAGTGACATTAAGGCTGCCCTCCCTAATAGTTTATGCAAGTACCTCTGGAGGATCAGTTTTTTCCTTCCAGGGCCAAGATCTTCACTTCTTCCCGTTTACTCTTCTGTATTTCCCCACAACTTTAAACAGTTAAGTAAGAAAACCCAGGTCAGAGCCCGGTTCAGACAGGCAGGTCTGTGGATGCCCTAGCAAGGTCACGAGTCCCGGAGAACATGCTGAATCAGCCTGGTTCAGACAGGCAGGCCTGCGGACACCATAGCAAGGTCCCCCAGTCACACAGAACACGCAGAGTCAGCCCGCTTCCCGGCAGCAATCCACTGGAAACCGCCCCCCCCGCGCCCCGCCCCCACTCCTCTGGCCTGTTCTCTGTACAGCCACCTGGTTCCACACTACAAAGACACAGAGGACACCGGACCACCAGACCACTGTACTGGGTAAGTTGGAGTCATCTTCACCTCCCATCAGGACCGGGACTACCTTCAGGGGAAGGGCAGCTG